CGTCTGACTCGAAACTGACGTGATTAACAAACAGTTCGCCAGCAACGAAGAATTGCAAGAGGCTGTTTAAAAGTGTATCCGCCGTTACCCTAAAACATGGTTTGTTCCAGCCATTCGAAAACTTGCTTATCAAGTTAGGTAGTAATCACAAGTGGTATTCATGTATGTATTCTGATAAAGTACATTACGTCACTTTACTACTCTTAATCCAGATCATAACTGACGACTAAATATACTGGACCACTGAGCAGCAGTGGCGCTAGGGTGGGTTTATGAAGTATTATATAAGAATATTTATCATTAAAGCTGTACAAGGTACAATAACATCTAGTTGCCTTGGTAGTCAAAGAATCAGGAATCCTTTGCAGCGCTTTTTTTTTTTTTTTTTAAATAAGAAACTAGTGTTACCTGGAACACCGTGTAACAAAGTCACATCTATCCTGTGTGCACAGATTTATATAAATAAACATAGCTTTACATAAGCATAGCGATGTCTACGATGCTACTGTGAAGAACTAACGGTGAAGACGAGGCCTATGTACTCTATGTAGAAGTTGATTGGTGAAGCTGGATCACGTGAAAGCAGTTGATTACAGATTGGTCGTGGGAGGTGACGTTGCTGTTAATATTCTAGGTCAGGGGTTCTCAACCTTTTTGTCTAACGCGTACCATTTAACAAAAACTGAAAATCTTAAGTACCACCACCACAAAGTACTACTACCACCACCACCACTCTTGAACAAAGCTCAGGTCGCATAAATTTACGAGTGTTAAAGAAAAAATTCAATCAGGGTGTTAAGGTTTTAATTTTTGAATTTAATACTTAAAAATACTTTTTTTTTTGCATATCACCTATTTTTCCCGTGCGTACCACCGGTTGAGAACCTCTGTTCTAGGTGATTGCTGGTTGGCCAAGGGTATCACTTGCTTGCAAGGAAGAGAGGTGTAAAGAAAATTAAAGCAAAAACGAACAGTAAAAATAAATAAATAAATAAAATGGCAAAAATTAATTACAAGCAAGAATTTAATTAATACTTGGGTAAATGAAACAGAATTAGGGATTAAAAGTGCAGCTACCGATGGGATAGAGATTAGAGGACTTGGTGTAGACCTTTTTCTTTTTGCTGTAGAATTAATGTTATAGTTCACGATGGGGCTACTCGAATTATTAATTTTTCCGATATTTTTGTAGAATTTCTTTCAAATTTTTACGGTGAAGCCAGTGATGGTTGGAATATTGAGTTCTTTCTGAATTATAGTGTTTCTAATGAACCAGGGGCAACCGATAGCTTGCGTGATAGTTGCATCTGCAGTTCCTTGATTTTAAATAAATGAGAATTATTGAGACAATCCCAGACAGAGCAGGCTTAAATTATCATTATGAGACGTAACATGGTCTTATAAATGAATATTTTGCGATCAATGATAAAAACGCTATTTCAGGCGATAAATGGGGTAAAAGTTGATTTATTGGCTATGAAATTTGGAGAAAATATGCTTTATGTGAGGCTTAAATGTGAGATTGTCTAGGATAACAACAATATATCTAACTTAGAGGATATTTGGATTATTCATTTTGATGCAGCTGTGAATGTTTATCTTGAAAGTACACATGATTAGTTCTGACTTGACCACATTTATTTGAATCTTCCAGGCAGTTAGACTCAATTGCATGAATATGTGTTTGTAACTATTGCGGAGCTGAGCTTTGCGATTCACTGTATGTGAGGGCTGCAATCTCATACGCATGCATTGTAAGTGCAGTGTCATTTGCCTGTAGGATATCATCTGTGTAAAAGTTGAAAAGAAGCGGGCCAAGTAAACTTCTTTTCGAAACGTCAGCCTCGATTTTTCTTTTTGTGGCACATGTATTATTAACACGAACGACAACTTATCGGTTAGATTGGAATAATGTGCTCAGGGAAACCAGGTTAATGAGTTTATGTAGAAAATAAACAACGGTCAAACGCTTTAAAGCTATGTCTAAAAAGACAGCTTCAGTGTAAATTTTCTGCTGTAGTTTCTGAAATTTTTTTGCAACACGAAACAACTGATAACTAGTAGAATGATATTGTTACGTTAGTTTCTTCCTTTAAGTTACGTACGCGCAGGGTTCGTGCGGATTTGGAATGAATAACGACGACACTTGATGAAGTATCAAAACGGCCAGTATTCTCAGGAAAGCTTCAATATCACGTTTACAGTCGTCGAAGAACTACTATAGACACGCTGTAACAATCAGCGACACAGCCTTTCAGGCAATCGGGCTATAACGGTGAAGACAGCTTCACGGCAAAGCATGTGCTCAGCAGAGTACAGCTCTCGGCTAGGTTTAGTGGTTACTGGAGCTCAGAGACAAAACTCGACGATTCACTAACTTGGGATATACTAAAAGACTCTTGATGCACTCGACGACAACTCGGCAGTAGGCACTCACTATCAACCCGATGGACTCCTCACGGACTGACTCTCAGCATACCAGCAGGGTTTATATAGCTTTTGGATTGTGTTCGAGAACATTCTGGGCCAAACCAGTAAGAATTCGTTCCAAAAGGTTCCCCATCCGTCTATGGCATTTCGCCAATTTTGTTGCCAAATGGTCGATTTTTCGCCAAATGTGGCAACCCGGCCTTCTTTCGCCATTTTCGGACAACCCTAAAACTGCTTTGCGGGGAAGCTATCTTACCGCGCCTGGACATTTCGGAACCATATTTTCGGAAGCCAAACTTTTGAGGAATTATTACGTTACTTGGATGGTTGAAGAAGATTTTGTAAGATAACTTCTTCAGCGGCTTTACTTCAGTTGGAAGAAGGCTGGTTGAACCGAAATGATGAAGGCTGATCTGCTTCTTTTCCTGGTTTTGGAACTGTAGTAATAGCTGCAGTTTTCCAGGCATCTAGGGAAACAACGGAGCCGTATGATATTAATTGATGATCTTACTTAATTAGCCGCCATATCAAGCGAAGACACATTTTTTTAATCTTGTTGCTGATGACATTTAGTCCAGAGGTGTTATTAGTCTTGAGGGAGCCGATATAACCAAGTATGTCAGAAGGGTTGATTAGAATTATATTGTCTGCGTGTGGTGTAAAACAAATTGTGTAATTGTTTGTGCGAGCTTTTTGTGTGTCGATCAGAAATGTTCGTAATAAACTGAGAAGCATAGTAATCAACTATAGTATATTCGATATAAGAATATTTTGAACTTCCATGCCGCAGTTTGTTGCCTTTTGGCGGAGCGTATGTATATAATGTTTATTTGAAATTTAATCTGGCTCTTATTTATAAACAAAGTGATTTAAAAGCACTACCTGAACCCTCCCTGAGTTCACTGCCTGGATTTATTAGAAGCATTATATATATATTTTTTCTTTTTTGTAGTAACTACGAGTATTAGGCTGCTGGCTGTGCCAGTGGATAGTTATTTGAAAAGTGAAACGGAGAACGAAAGCAATTCTACTCAAAAGTGAGGTTCAAGAATAATAGCTTTCTGGTCTAAAAAAGTGTTTGGCAACATTTAACGCTATTTGGGGAATTCTAAAGATATGCTATTTTTTAAAATTTTTGTGGTTTTTCTGGTGAAGTTTATGTAGAGTAAGTGCGAAGAAAGTGATAGTTAATAATAACGTTAAAAAGACAAAAAAAGTTGTGTTAGTAGGAGTGAATCCAAGAGCAGCTTGGTAAACAACGAGCGCAGTAATAAATCCTCTGGTGCGACGTTAAAATCTAAATACTTTCGGATTTATTTTTTATACCCAACGAAATTGAATTTTTGGCATTAATGCACATTTAGAAGTCTAGGGCCGAATTTTAATAGTCTAGGATTGCAAGCACATCTTTCTTCCAGGGATCATAATGCCCACTTTCTTTATCTGACAATGTGTTCTATATGTGGAAGGAAAAAAAAATGAATTATAAAAACTTATACGAGGATTTGTGGGCCCTTAAAAATCGGGTGCTGTAGGTTTAAGCATTATGGGTCTAAAGAATGCAAACTTGGTAAAGTGAGTCATTTTGCCAAAATCTTTATTTCGGTATTTAGCACTAGATTCGTAATCTTTAAATAAACCTAACATTTATAATATAATTTTGCTTATTAGGAGGAATATCTAAAATGCTGCCGTTTTATATACTATAAGAGAATAATCAAAATATTCGTCATTTATAAATGATGATATTTATTATCCATCATTTATAAATGCCACAATATATTATATAATTTACGCAGTGTAAAATTTCGTAGTTGAATTACTATATACTTAGTTTTCTCATTATTCAATATTACTCTTATTTTACGAAGTATACAGTCAGTTTTTTTCCGACCGATTTTGCTGGCCTGATCAAATATCGGCCAAGGTAACTGGCAAAAATGTTTGATCAAAAGCACAGTAAAATAATGAAATCATAAGGAAAAATGCATTACTGATCTTGGGGGGAAAAGATTAGCGTTACATCGTGTTTATCCCATTATTCTTTGAAGGGTTATGTTATAGATGATTTCTATATCTATAACTTATCTTAAATATTAATCCATTTTGATTTTTTAAATTTATTTTCGTGTTTGGTGTACGCAGCAGAGAGCACGCAAATTCTTGTTCTCTGTGTTTGAGGTCATTTATAATAAAAAAATTATTCGTATTATTTTTGTTTGTATTTTAATGCAAAAACAAATACTACAAATAATTTACATTTTAAGGCAAAAACAAATATTACGAATGCTTGCAATTTGTTGATTGCAAGTATTTGTTTTTGCATTCTTTTAGAAATTGGTTAGAGAGTGAAATATGTTTTTCGCTTGCATTATGGCTTGCTTTCAACTTCTGAAATGAATGGTATTGGAATGTAAACGCACTTAATATAACTTTTCTTTTAACTTCATAAAACTTTCAGTTTGATTTTTGGTTCGTGATAAAGTGATTCAGTTTTTTCTATTCGGTTAAAAAAATTATAATTATTTTTATTAAAATTATTTATAATTATCCTTTCTTATTCATTACAGCCCGTGTCTTCGTGGGCCGAGGCATAGTGTCCCAGAGAGTAGGCGGTCCAGTGCTCGATTCAGCATGGTAAGCAATTTTATTAAAAATAACAAAACCATCTGCACAAGTGAATTTATGTAATACACATAATAAAACTTCAAATTTTGTTAATCCATATTAGATGGATATTTTTATATTTAATTTTCGAAATGATCAGCATCTGCACTCTTCAACCAAACGATTCTTCCCATTATTTCAGGATGTTACAGTTTGGAGGACATTTTATTTTACACTTTATGATTGTCCAGTTGTTTCTTAAGGCGTTCTTTTAAAAATTTAGTCAAGATGATAGCCATTTTTTAGATATTTAACTATTGCATTTTGTTGTAGGTTAAGAAATGTGGAAACATGCAGAGTATTAATGAAATGTGTATTTCCTGAATGGATGAATACGCTGGAATTCTTTGATCGTATGAAATACAACTTTATTTTAATAGCGTAAACCGTTAAATGTTGCCTTTAGCTTTCTAAATTGACGACATATAAGCCATATTATTATATCATATGGGCAGCTTGCACTTTTGAAAACTTCTAATATTTCCCACTTTATATACTATCGACATATGGTGTCTGTCTTTTGACCATCGGAGAACTGTTAAGTCTTTAAAACTGGTAAAGTCCAGTCATAGGAGAACAGGTAAGTCCTGGAGAATTCGCCTCGGATTTTACTACTAGCTGTTAAACAGCATGGCTTTACGTTTTATCAACGTGTATTGCGTAAATACGGATTAATTTCTGTATGAAAGATTTTCATGTTGGCATCCGTTCCCATGGCAAATAATTCTGCATACTGTGCCAATATATAACCCAGTTTGTATCCTTAGCTTTGAAAGAACGCGATGTCTAGAGTCCAGCTGTCTGATTCGCAGGGGCGTAGCTAGAGGGGGGCAAGGGGGCCATCTGTTCCCGGGCGCAGAATCCAAGGGGCGCCAAACTGATGCTGCGACATTTTAAAATTAAATGTTTTCCATCCTTGGCAAGCAGTAGGGGGCGCGAAATCTTTAATTGTCCCTGAGCGCTGAAAATCCTAGCTACGACTCTGCTGATTCGGGCTCTGGGTTTGAAATAATTGCTAAAAGATACTGACATTTAAATTTTGATCATACAGTTTGAAGATTCAGAACTTGAATAGTTTCTACTGAATATCTAGCACTTTCTTGCAATTAAAAAAGTCAAATCATCTAAGTCAGAGAGTGCCTGTGTACAAGATGGTTAAAAATCATCTTCCTTTTCACTGGAACATCGTTATTTTGACTTACATAAAAATGAAACTTAAATTCACTGAATATGATTTTACTTAAAATTACAAATTGTAACTCGTACCAAAACTTGCTTACGTTTCATATCTCAGTTCTAATTTTGGAAACACTCGACAATTAAACTCCGTTATTTTTAGCATTTAGCATTAACAACTTTGTCATATGCAATGGGAGAAGGAAACGAGACGTGAGTTCTGTTACTCATCAAGTATTGTATTCTCATGTTACGTACACTGCCTCTTTATAATTTACTTAAGGTCATGAACCTCTTTTCTATTGTGAGACGGCATTATTTGACAAATGATATAATTAGAAGCATTCGGAACTGTCATTTTGGAGGGAAAGTTAAATGCCTGCTTTATGGTTCCACTCTGCCAACATCCGGGATGTTAACAAATACTGAAGAGTCCGTCTTAATAGAATGTCCTGGACGGCGAGGTGCACATTAATTGCCTAGTGCCTAGTAAACTCTTATGTCTGGTGGCAGATTAGATGAGAATAAATACTTTGTCAACTAATTTGTAAAGCATGAGCTCACAAAATAAAGTATGATTTTTACTTCGAATTATATTTTGGAAATGGTGTTGGCAGTGTGTATCATTTTGCTTGCCTGGGAAGTCTATTTTTAAATACCTCGAATGTCCTGGCAAAATACAGAATTTTGCCACTTGGCAGGAAATATTGGTGATATAATTTTAAATCTTTGCGTGCAAAGCGATGTAGCGAGTACTGCCGTGTTTTTGATTTTCTCTGCATAGCTGCATATTGAATTCTTCACCATCTGTGTTTTCTGCATTCAGTAAGTGAAAAAATATCTCCACGTGGCGTTAGTTCATGATGAAGTAATTTTACATAAAATTCTTCCTTTTCTGTTGTTTAACTTTGTTGTTTTGAACAGTTGTTTTTAAATATATAATTTTACGTTCTGTGTTTGGAATTCTTGGGTTTTAATTCTGCAATTAGGGAGCCTGTTGTCACCGTTCAGCTTAGAACTGTTTCCGGCGTTAAAATGAACCCAAAATATGAAAAACAGATTACATTAATTTTGTATATATATTTTGTTTTAATTTAAAAGAAAACTGATGTGGCCAGCACCTGACTTCCCTTCAATTCCATGTTAAGACTCGGAATCGGCGGAAATCAACGATCTTTATGTAAACTGTCACTTCAGGTTGATTATTTTTAAATATAAGTTAATTTGTTTATTAAATTTATGGCTCAATTTTAATTACAAACACTACTCATTTTTTATTATTCTATTCTCCCATACGATGGACAATGTTAACTGTACGAGCTCATGTGCACATCAGTTTTCATGCGTATTTAAAAAAAAATATCGCATCGATCATAATATGTAATATCTCTCTCGTCTTATAATGTTTTGGATACACAAATGTATCCAAATTGTAACGGCTTAGCAATCACAAAATTTTTAAAAGCAGCATATTTTTAAAATTCCTGATAGAGCATTAAATGTTGTAATGCATTTCTTGCATTTCTTTTTGTATTTGATATATTCGATATATTATTTATATTTACTATTTTATTTCCTTAAAAATTATTCATAACAATAGGATTTGATGGCAGCATCCTTTTATTTGAAAAGTGATTCGCTCATTAAGGATTAATGCTAATATATTTAATTGCTTCATAACGAGAACATGTCTTCACAATGAACTTATTCTCGTTACATTTATCATAACTGCAAGAATACATTTAATACTTACAAATATAATATGTTGTTGTTCTCTACGAAAGTCTGTTTAGAGCTTCAAGTATCTGTTTAGAGCACTGTTTTGTAAACAGATACTGCACTTCAAGTATCTGTTTAGAAAGTCTGTTTAGAGCTGGTTTATCAGTTTTAGCCAAAATCTGGTATGTTGTTCCCATTGATTTAAAAGTCTATTATACTTTAATATAGTTTTTCATTAAAACTGTTATGAGCTTCAAATAAAGTTCCAACCACACCGGTTGCTCATTAAAGACTGTTATGGACTTCCCGTAAAGTTTCACTTAATGATTGTCCAATTTTACCCAAAATCTAATCAACTCTTTATGTGAATATAGGAAACTTAAGTACAGAAAACAGAAATTTTTTAATTCGTATAAATGTTATCACGGGCGAAAAATCATCACAGATTTGCACACACACAGACAGACAAACATCATTATAAAATCGCAAAATGTTGTGGGGCTCTAGAAAGTGTTGCGACGCATTTCGTTTTACATTCGATATATTATTTAGCCGAAAAGTGCGTTAGCCCGAATGGGCTATTAGTCTTGAAGCGGGATTTTCCGTCGTCCACTACTAATGGCCAATCACTTTTCAAATTGTTGCCACTAAATACTATGGCCCTATGTCATCTTAAAAGAAATTAAAGAAGAATCTCCATTCACATATGTTCCTCACATTGTGAAAAAACGACGGCACCTAGACCCATTAAATTTTGAATAACGTTGTCCTCTACCCGAAGATGTGCACCTGAAAGCCCGAAGTTTGAATTCTAAATTTTATATTTCATATTTTATAAAACTTTAACAAATTTTTGATTAACAAACTCAACGGTTTGAAAGCGAGCAGCGACAACTCTGTACGGAATAAAGTATTTTCATCTCCAGCGCGCGAGACTGTCTGTCGAAAATTTTAAATGTATGCTGTTTTTAAATATTATGTAATTGTGCTGTTGAACTGAACTTTATGTCACGTAAATGCGAAGGACATAATATCTAATAAATAAAGTTAAGACACAAATTGTTAATTCTAAAAAAAGACGCACCTCCCCCCGAGAAAACTGAACATTAAATATGATGAACTGAGAAGAGACTGAAGAAAATAGAAAAACATATTGTTACGGATTTTGTATTTAGTTGGCTATTTCTAGTAGAATTGCAATTAACGTTGTTTTATTGCAATGTGTAATTCAGCGCATGGCGAGTTTTAAGAGAAAGCTACGCCGAAAAGTAAAAATTCAAGAGCATTTAATAAATAGATATCACGTAATTTATATTTAACTTGAAATAATGCAATTGCGTATTAGCTGTAACTGTACTCTTTTGCTTTCCAGAAACCTTGAGAAGTTACTAGAAGCTTCTCGTGACGGATTAAAAACCTTATAAAAGCCTGTCTATCATATCATTTCAGTTGTTTATATAAACTGTTGTTGTTTGTTGTAGCGAATTCGCGGTGAGATCGGATTTGCTTTCTCTGTACTTTGAATTGTGTTCTATTTAACGTTTTAGTAGTTTAAAATATAACTACACTGATATATTGTGATACTGTACGAATATCTGTAAGGAAAAATTTCAGCATTTTGTTTTATTTTTTCTGATAAGAATAAATTTTATTAACTTTTTAATCGGACTTGCGCATTCAATCTGTTACGAACCCGTACGCACGCAACAGTGTACCGACACTTAACATTGCATCGGTAATTCTAAACATACGCTGCTATAGTGCTTTGAAAATGTTTGTAATTTTGCTGTTGAATCTTATATGGCGTAAGTGCGAAGAAAATGGTACTTAACAATAAAGCTAGCGGGAGTGAGTGCAACAACAGACTGGTAGACTGCAAGCTCAGCGAGAGCATAAAAAAAAACTTAACAAATCATTTTGGGCGATCGTTAAAAAGAGATTGCGCTGGAGATAAAAATATTTTATTGCCTACAGTATGTTGCCTCTGCTGGCTCAGAAATCGTTGAGTTTCTTAATCAAAAATTTGTTTAAAAAACATGAAACAGATAATAAAACAAAAAAAAACATGAAACAGATAATATATATATATATATATATATATTATATATATAAACATGAAACAGATAATAATAAAACAAATTCAGAATTCAAGATTCGGGCTTCCAGGTGCCTCTATTCTGGTGGAGACTCCGTTATTCAAAATTGGATGGCTCCAGGGGTATCGTTGGAAAATGCGAGAAACATACATACATTCATGCAGATTCTTCATTATTTAATTTCTTTAAGTATTATGCAAGGCGATAATATTTGATGGCAACAGTTTGAAAAGTGATACAGCCGTTTATAGTGATTTGACGCAAAATGCCGTTTCGAGACTAACAGCCCTTCTGGACTAACGGCCCTTTGGGCTAAAAATCCACTGCCTGCTGTTCTTTAGAAGGCAGGTTCCAAATTTTAACCGTTGTTTTCAACATGCAAGAAAAAAATGCCGCAATAAAAGTTAATTTAAATCGTTATTCACAAAAACAAAACTTGGCTTATCGAGAATCAATCGGGATTACATGAGACGGAAACAGAGATATTACGCATGTGTTGTTACGTCACGCTTATCCAGATTTGGTGCTAAATCGGGCTGTTTGGCGACAGTCTCACGATCGACGAGATGATACGTAAGTATTGGTGTGTTAAACCAAATATTATTTATCAAAATATGCCAACGCGATGTTAAAAATTTACAATTTTCTTACTTAGCCGATTGCGGGGACGCATCTGTCCTGTAGATGCACATGCTAGCATTAGAAACTGTACTATTTTTTTTTTTTAAATTCATACTCAATATCGGCCCTGGTGTATTTTTAAAGCTAAAATTTCGATTTAACCGAAATCACTTTCTTCTTTTATCCATTTCTAAAAAATTTCATATTTTTGAAATAATATGTGTTTTTCGAGGGTAAATGAATGAATATCTGTAATTTGTAGTTTTATTTTGTGTAGGGTTATCAGATTACTAAGATTAACTACCAAGTTTTTCTGAGGCAGTTCTGGATTCTTAATTATATCTGGGCTTTGTTATAGACATAAAGACGTGCGGGATTTTCCAAAGAGTGGTTATGAACGTTGAAGAAATAATTAATTTATAGAAGAAGGATGTAAAAGCGTGAATCTTAGGTAATGTTTTTACCGGGATGGAGGTATCATAGTATAAAATCGGATTGTTTTTGAGAACTTAGTGTGTAATTTCATTAATGCATCCTCACAAGTCATACTGAAGAACGTTTTAATATTTTTTGTATTTTTGTCAATCGAATTTCTTTGCTTTCATTTCTTCACATCAACTTTGTATTGGTGGCATTAATTTGAAACTCTTAATACTTTCTCAACACTGAAATTAGTTTATCATAAAATATCCTTTTCGATGAGTTTTCCTAAAAGGTAAACCTAGTTTTCTTCATCTGCATTGGCAATATATTCTATTTTATCAGCATCAGCAAAAGCTAACTTGTCAACCGTAGTTTCTGTATTCATACAGTTAATTTCATGTTCCATAAGTGCTTAATTTTTTTGCTGTTTAATTTTTAATTATTTCATGATAAATTATGTCACAGAGAACTTCCCATTTTGGTAAAAAATTACATTAACTTGTGCTGTGCAATATATCCGGTACACTTTTGTAGGGGAGAGAAAATGTGTTGCAAAGTGATTGAAGATGTTCAGTATGTATTCTTTTGCATTTCCTTGAATTAGATATCTTGAGAGACTTTCATTATCATGAAATGAAAAAGAATTCATTTAATTTCTTTATTTATATATCAGTCTATCTTTATTGACGAGCCAGTCTAATTTCATTTTTTGCTTTTTAGGAACCACTCACTGGTACAGAAGCCTCTCCGGAAGAACTAAAAAAGGCTCTCGAATGGGAACTTAGCTTAGATAACAACGATTTAAGAAGCCACGCGTGGTATCATGGCACAATTCCTCGGCCCAGAGCTGAGGAACTTATGTCTGAGGAAGGTGATTTTCTCATTCGAGATTGTATCTCCAGGCCTGGAGACTATGTTCTCACTTGCCGATGGAGAGGAACATCTCTTCATTTTGTCATAAATAAGGTAAAAAGTTGAAATTCACTCTTGTAGTCTAGAGAATACTGCAGACAGATTATAAATTTCTGTTGAGGTTAATATTACCTCAGTTAGCTAATGGGGTTATCACATGTAGCAGTGTATGGCGCTAGAAGAAAGTTTCCCGAGAAACCATGTCTCCCAACACTGGTTTTAAAGGGAGGGTTTCTAGCTGAATCAGTCCCGCTGGAAGCTATTTCCCTCCCACATACGCGAAACATTTTGCGACGCTGACGGGAATTTCTCTCTTGCAGCTTTATCGTGCACAGGATCAACAAAAAACTAGTTTTGCGTAAGTTAATACAGTCAAAAGTCGTTAATTCGGACACCCATAATCCGGACCTCAAAGCTACAAACTTTCTGCGCATGCGTTGCGTTCACGCATGCGCACAGGCGTTTACGAGTGCGCGTAAGACCTTTACGGCTGCGAATATGTTTGTGCGCATGCGCGTGTAATGTGTAACGGAGGCAAGCTAAAATTATCTAATTCAGTTAATGTTGCAGATTGCGTTGTTCCTTAATCTACGAATTGGATCCGGCTTATTATTTTTTGCAGACTGTTAGAGCAATTTCATAAAAGTAAGCTTGAACTTTCGATTATGTCAAATAGAATTTCCGATATATATTTACTAATATGTAATTTGTATCTACAAAGCGAATGTATGTTTTGAAATCCGAAATCTGTTTATCAATTTCACGCCGCGGATTGGAAGTTGATCTGTCAGCACTATCCTTATCTTCAGGGCAGATGTTTTTATTTTATTTGACTTATAATTCCTTACTAAGTATTTCATCTCGATGTACTCCGTCTTTGATATGATTTAAATCAAGTTCCTCGTCATAATAATTCGCTTCCGATAGTGAAGAAAGTGACCCAGAGGTTATTGAAAACGAAACATTTCGATTGACAAATTAGTCGGTATTCTCAACACAGCAATTATAGGACTTGAACAGCGGACTTGAACGGCGTAACTAAACAAGAAATTATGTCTTTTGAATAGAATTAAAGAGAAAGTATTATCACATGAAACGAAGCAACTTACATTGAAAGAAATGTTTAATAAAGTAAACAAATAAATATTAAGCTTTTTCTTTTTGTAAATTTTGATACCCTTTAGATCATAATTGTTCTTTATTTCATAAATTACGGTTTCATATTTTTAATTTTGTAATTTCTGCATGCCATCTTACCAGATTTAAACTGATGATCTATAATCCGGAAAAATCGATAATTCGGAATTGCCGAAGTCCCGACGAGTCCGGATTAACGACTTTTGACTGTATGTCAATTATCCCGAAAGCGAAGATTCCTGGAAATGTTTCTTATGACGCACAGTCTTGGATAACTTCCAAGCCTGATAACAGATGTAAGAACGTTAAAATTGATGCCCAGGGAATTCGCGTATGTGTAAATTCTATCAAGTTTGAGTGACGCTTAGAAATTATGGATTTTGCACACTTCAAAATCGATAATTAAATTAATAAATTCATCGCAAAATATGCTGATGCTAATTTAATTATTTTTACTTTTCATTTAAAAGGTTTTTGTGGTAATCATGTACTGTGCGACCTACCGTTTTTAGTTGGTTATTTATTTCGTAGATGACATCATTAAAACGCAATTTTTGAATTCAAACATGTGATAAAACGGCTAGAAAAAGAGATGATTTAAATAGCAATCAATTTTAATACCACCATCAGAAAACCACTAGCCAAAAGGGATAGATTGCATACTACATGATTACCGACAATTTTTTATGTGGTAATAGTTAAGACTAATAAATGCAATTACTTTTTTCTATTCTTTAACTTAAAAGCACATTTATTAATCTTTTAACAGGTATTTTAATTCTATATTTTAGGTTGTTTTTCAGCCGTTTACAGTGTACGAACGTAGATGACTGCTTTGATACGGTACCTGATTTGGTGACATATTATGTAGGTAACAAACGCCCCATTTCTGCAGCTTCTGGTGCTGTGATATCAAAACCTGTGAATCGGAGTATGCCATTATCATACTATGCAACTCGGTATGGGTTGGAATGCCAGATGCACTATGCAGCTTTAGCTTTAGAAAAGGTTGCTGGCAGTCAGGAATCTTTGATTAGGAAATGTTCCCATGGTGGGAGTGGTGAAAGCTTAAATCAAGAAAGAAGATCATCTCAACCCTTGGAATCAATAGAAGGTGTGATTTCTCTAATTTCAAATAGATTGTTAAATAAATGCATATGTACATCTGGTACATATTTAGCATCAGATTTTTAGGTTTTTTTTTCCAATTTCACGTATTTTATTTATTTATTTATTTTTAATTTTAAAATATCACTGATTTGAACTGAAAACTTCTGATCATTATATTTTTAAATTCATGTCTGTATTTTAAGACATGAATAAAAAGAGAGAGCCTTTCAGACTAAAACAAATATGGTTATTTGACATCTACTTATAAAAATGTGTAAATTCAAATACTCATGTGGTCCCTTTTATAGAAAAATTTTTAACTAGTAAGTTGTTTATGATCTGCTAAATGTATTTTACTAAATTTTGTAATATGAAAAATGCCCTAAAAACTGTCAAAATTCTGATGACTTTAACTAAATAAAAAGAAAATTTTTTTATATTAAACAAATCTTCAGTGTAACTAAAGTATATGTAACAAGCAAATCAACATATCTGCAAAACTTATTTTACAATAAAATTCTCATTAAATTCTACTGAATTTTAATTGAATGAAGTGCACATTGAAGTAATTATGAAAGAAAAATTAAAATTAATATCAGCACTTCAGTAAAACTTAAAATAACAGTTACTTTATGTAAAATTGTTACTTTATATAAAGGTAAATTGGAGATTTTTATGACAAGCATTTAACATATTTCTTATTGTTTTATATTAAGGTTTCAGCTATAAGAAGCAAGATTTCAGCTGTAAGGTTTAATAAAAATATATAAATTTACATGGGTCTCATCTGATTAGTACATCTCAAAACTTAAATTTTGAAGTCCATTATTAAATGCTAATGTATCTTCTTTATGTGCTTAAGCAAGACATAGATTTTCATCTTTTTTACATTTCTGTTCTGAAATTTCTAGAATGAAATGGAACATTCTATCATAATGTGTTTGTACTTTGATACAAAACCTAGTTTATTATCTACATTCCTAAAATTTAATGAAATTGCAGTATTAATTTTAATGGCGTATATTTTGAATAATAGCATTAGTTTTAGCAGCAATGCCTTAACTTTTTTCATTGAATCTTAGAAAGGCTGTGTGGTCATAATATGAAACTACATCTTTAATTGCATTTGAAAAATACTATGTAAATTAATGGCTAAGAGCCTGGCAAAATAGATGGCATGCAAAAAGGTTCTGTAAGTTCTTAAAAAATCATTGGGTTGTAGTATATATTCTTTTCTAATTTGATTTTTTTTTCACACGGCTAAGCCGTGATTGATGTGAAAAATTATGAATGCCAGGATTGATGTGGAAAATGTTTATGACAAGATTAATGATTATTTATATTTTGTTAAAATAATGTATGGTTGATGTCATAGATGCTCATCCAAGCGGTGTGGCTACTATGCCTCGACCTACAGCATGTGATTATCCCAGGAAATCTTTGCCAAATTTTTCAACTCTTCAACATGGTATAGGTTCACATTCCAAAAGAGATAGTTCCTGCAGTTCATCTCAAGATAAGAAAATACTTAAACAGAAGTAAGACAACATATATCATCTGAAGCACTCATAGTCTTCTTGTAATTAATTGTTTGCAGTTGTAACAAATTATTATGTTTATTCTAATGTTAGTAATAATATATAATTTATGAAAAAACTATAATGTTACTAGTAATTTATGTTTGTAGTAGTATTTATTTACAGCCAAGCAAAAGAGGATTATTGCCATGCATATTTGTTTATTTAGAAAAGTGATAAAACTTGAATAAATTTTTGTATTATTTCAAATTATGATTTATATTTAATGTGGTTTTGAAACTGATAAGTGATTTCATTATTTTCATTTGTTAAAAAATAATAGATTTTTATCTTTTCATTTTTGTTGTCTAAAAGTGAATATTAATTGCAAATTTTCATTGTAGACTGAGTCAAGAAACTGTTCCTGATGTATTTATGAATAACAAAGAAGAATCGAAAGATGATGTTCCACCTCCTAAACCTAGTCGTGTTCCATCGAAAAAATATGGCACATCATCATACTCATCTGGAACTGATAATAATTTTGGAAACAAATTAGGTAAGTGATTTAATGTTAATAACTTGAAAGAGAAGATTATTTAAGTTCAAAGTAAGCTTTTAAAAATCTTACTACAAAGTACCATCTATTTCAAGTCTTAGATCAGAGCCAGATTAAGATCTTTAGAAGTTCTAAACACTTAAAAGGTTTTGGTGCCTCCCACATTTAATTACAGTATAATGGTTATCTGAATTTCAGTTATTTGAACTAGACTGTTATCCAGATAATCAGTTTCAAAGTCAAATCATAAATTAGAGTTATTAAATAAGGCAGTATATTATTTAGATAATTAAAATTATTGAATGTTAATAATAAATGAATCTAGATAATGTGACAATGCATATTGTAATAAAATATCCAAGGGACGAGTGGAAAAACATACATGGACAAGCTGCCAGAAGAGACCTTTGGTGGTGAATAGTAAAATAATCTCTACCACTGATAAGAGAGACTTCTACATAAAAGGTCCTTGCAAATACCACCAGCAGGGCTGAGAGGGTTCAAGGATGATGAAATTATATCATCTATTTGAGATTAAAAATAAATTGAAGAAAATTAAAACAGTTGTTTCAATAAAGATCCAGTCTGACAAAATACAGAGGTTTTTTAAAATATTTAAAAGCAGTTATGAAGTGACTTGGAACAACACAAACACTGCTATCCATTTTGACTTCCATACATACAAAACTATTCATGATATGACTATAAGTATTCTTTAAAAGAAAAACCAATTTGCAGTTTTTTTTTTTCAGTATGTACTTACTAGCATAATCATCTAGACCAGCAGTTCTCAACCTATTAACAAACATATATATATTGCAGAACCTATTGGATATTTGTATTAACTATGCACATATAAAAAATATTAAAAATTGGTTACCATTTTAATTGTCAAAATTTAAGTTATAATACTTTAAAGATTAGTCTGAAATTTGGGCCTGTTTAAGAGACATCAATTTCTCTATGTCTGGTCTTATTTCACTTAGTTTTAACTGTAAATTAGGATCCACTTTTAATTTTGTTCTGCATTTAGTTTTCAATATAACATGGAAGAAAATCCTTGTTCACAAAAATAAGTTGTGTAAAAAGAGAATAAAAATTTAATAGCTTTATTTGAAATGTTTTAAATTCTTTTTTTCGGTCCAGAGAAAAGTTATAATAAGCATGTTACTTTTGAAATCTTCAGTTAGAGTTTGATCACAGAAAATCTCTATCAATTGTTCTTTTTCTTCATGAGATAAAATTTCAGGTATATTTTAAACAAAATGGATTTCTAATCGAATTTCCTTTTTCATAATCCTCAGGAAAATACATGTTGAAATTATTTATCAGTGAAAAAAGATTTTTAATATCGGATGCTAATTCTTTTATTTTCAAATTATTTTTGACTAGAAAGCTTTCTGAAAGTGGTAAAAAGCTTAAAAAATTATTATTCAATTCTTTGATTAATAGCTTAAATTTTTTTTAATGGTTGTATTTATTTTATCTCTGATGGTAAACAAATTAACTCTTTGTCCTTGTAATCCTAAATTTAATTCATTTAACTTTCCAAAAATAGGAGCTAAATATGCTAAACTCACCAACCATAATTGACTAAGTAAACATTTTTGCAGCTCAAATTTTGGATCACAGAGGACAATTGGAATTTCTGATCGAAGTTCACAAAGATGACTTAAAACTCTGTGTCTGGCTAACCATCACCTTACTTCAAAATCTAACAAAAGCATTTATTGTTCACTTTTCATCTTTTGGTATAAAATCGTTAATATTCTTGAGCTTGGCTTTTAATAAAATTAACAATTTTCACAACTTGATTAAGAATGATTTTCAGGTTTTCAGGGATTGTTTTGGATACTAAAGCTTCACATTGAATGGAGCAGTGAGTAAATTACAGGTTCAGGTATGACTCTCATTATTTGAGAAATAGCACAAGAATGTCTTCCTCTTAAAGCCTGAGCTCCATCACTTTGTACTGCAATCGACTTATTCTAAGGGATATCATCATTCTTGGACATATTTTTTTTTTTTTTTCATTTGAGAACATACAGACTCCTTGTGCACATGTACAAAAGGGGGCTTACAGAAGTAAGTTAACTAAAACATTAAAAGTTACATGCATAAATAAACATTAAAAGTTACATGCATAAATAAACATTAAAAGTTACATGCATAAATAAAGCAAACAAAAGCAGAGAACAGCAGTCTGGACTTCACGAAAACAGATAAGTTCACTGGCCAAGTCACTCCGAACATTTTCAAATCGTTCTGTAAGCATAATCTAGGGCCATCAAATGTAGGGCATGAGAAAATCAAATGTTCCACATCCTGAGGAACTCTTTTTGAACATTCACATAAATTGTTTGATTGTAGATTAAAACGAAACAGGTAACTTGCAAATTTATGGTGACCAGATAAAAACTGAGACACTTTAAAATTTAACGAGAGGAAAGACTCGGAATTCAGTCTATGGTAAATAGAAGGAAGGAACTTTTTGGTGACTTCAGCATTACAAGATGAAATGTAGTCCTCATTTCACATAGCTAAAAGCTTTTTATAATGAAAGGACTTCCAAAAACTCTTTGGAATGCTAATGTTGATATCAATGGGTAAATTTAAGGCATCTTTAGCTAAGAAATCAGCTCTTCCATTTCCGTAGAAACCATGAGGACACACATAAGCAAAGTAGATATCAATACCTCTAATTCTAAGTGAACTAACAGTTACTAGGGTTTCGATAACTAATTTATCGCAACTGGTAATACTGTTCAAAAGTTGACATAAAATTGCCAATAAGTTTGAAAATTTCGTTTGCATTTGCTCTATCATGAAGAGATTCAAAAAATAAATACTCTTTGGAAAATCGTTTATCTTCTTCGAAACGTACATAAACCAAGAGTGAAAAAAAAAAAAAAAAAAAAAAAAAAAAAAAAAAAAAAAAAAAAAAAAAAAAAAAAAAAAAAAAAAAAAAAAAAAAGAAAAAAAAAAAAGAAAAAAAAAAAAAAAAAAAAAAAAAAAAAAAAAAAAAAAAACAAAGTTTGTTATATCAGTACATTCACCCAATTGCAATGCAAAATACTCACTATGTTTTATTTTTTGTATAATTGTATTTTTATGGAATTTTTCATTTCATGAATTCATCGACTTACTGTATCATTTAATAATGGAATATTATTAAGTTCATTTAGCCACTTTTTTGATGAATAATGTTAAAACGATATCCTTAGCTACAGCTAATATTAGGTTTTCTTCAACAGTGTAAGCTGGCCCAGTCTTGGCTATTCTTAGGCTTACTAGGTAACTAGCTTCCAAAACTTTTTCACTTGAAAGAACAAAACCTTTTATTACTTGTTTACTGTTTTTGATACTGATAAAAATACCTCCTGTCAGGGACAGCAAATCAACTATGATTCTAATAGAATATATATATAGATACTCGTATAGATCTTATATGTCTATATAGTGATAATTTATCAAGAAAATCAAGTAGTAAATTATAAAATTTTTCTCAAAGTTAGTAATTATAATGTTTCCAAAGAACACTTTTGTCTGGCTAAAGTTTAAAAAAATTTTTTAGCGAAAATGTGGCTATTTTTGCATTGTGCTGTTTTTCGTCCGAATACGCGTAATGGGTTAGCTTGATTAATTTCATACGTTTAAAAAACGTAATCTACTTTCTGATGTAATATATATCAAGCCTTGAAAAGCCAATGTTTGGAAACGCGTTAAATTGGGCTAAAATTTACCATTTTCCGCTTACTTTTTATCTTTTTCTGTTTTTTAATGTTTTACATGTCTAATGGTTCGATTTTCATATGTATTTAATTTTTTAAAACGTGTTGAACCTTTTGGAGCAGCAGCTCTTGGTAACTTTTAGGCGAGCTTACTACAATTTTTATATTTTGTGTGTATATATATATATATATATATATGATACCAGAAATGATAGCGACAAGCGTACATATGCTAATAAATTGATCAAATCTAAAAGAAATAATGAGATACTATTGTCTTTTTATTACAGGAACTTATTTTTATTTTCTATTAAGTACAACATCCATTTCTATTACTTCTTTTAAAAGCAGCATTTATGACAAATTTTGTTATGGCCAGAGGCGTAGCCATGGTTTTCAGCTCCCGGGGACAACTGAAGATTTTGCGCCCATTTCTGTGTGCCAAGAATGGAAAACATTTCATTCTGCAATTTCATCAAATGAATTTGGCACCCCATGGATGTTGTGCCTGGGGAGCACCCCATGGATGCTGTGCCTGGGGACAGATGCCCCCCTTGCCCCACCCTAGCTATGCCACTGGTTATGGCTATAGCTAAAAGAATATTTAAGAAAATAAGAATGGATTATTTTGCTAAAGTCTATGAGCAGCTGTTGTCCTTGAACAAAGTTCAGATCGCGTAAATTTACAAGTGTAAGAGAAAAACTTAAACAGGAAATTGGAGTATTTAATTTTTGGATTTAATAAGTTAAAAAATACTTCAATATTTTTAATTCTAGTTTGTGTTTTCTTTGTGTACCACATATTTTCCCCTTATTATTTTTCTCTAATATTTTCAAAAAATATTATTGCATATATTCATTTTATTACATATATGTTTTACATTTTAATTAAATATTTATCCCCCACATTAATCAATAAACCTAATCAAAAGTGAGTTTTTGTTTCTTCACTTGTGCAAATTTTATGGTAACAGTTTTAAGAATAGATTCAAAATATTTACTCTCTTTAACATTTTGTAGCAAAATATTATATTCCTGTAGAAATTTTACTAAAGTTTTTTCTGTCTTGGGTTAATGCTGCAGTCACATATTTCAAAATTGAATTTTAGACAAATATATACAGTCAAAAATCTTTAATCTGGACTCGTCGGGACTTCGGCGATCCTGGATTATTGGTTTATCTGGATTATAGATCGTCAATTTAAATCTGGGAAGATGGCATGCAGAAATTATAAAATTAAAAATATGCAATCGTAATTTATGAAATAA